AAGAAATAATATTTCCGAAGAACTATCCGAGATTGACGGCAATGCGAGTGAACAACCAGAAGCACCATTCGAAATTGTGAGGACCTCAGACATTTTACATCGCGAGAGCGCGGAGAAGCATATAAAAGAAGAGACATATAGGCGACAAAGAGATCCCGACGCTATGATCGCTTCGTTGGATCGATTGACGGCAACGTTAGTTCAACAAACTGAAGCCATACGCGAACGAGATTCCGGCACAATGAAACAGAGCTTGACATGCGACACATGGAACGAGGATTCTCCCAATGACGTTTCCTTCCCCAGCATCAGCATAAGCGCGCCGCTAGTCGCTTCGTTCAACAGCGACGCGCAGGAAGATCAACGCATCAACGTGTTAGAAAACAATGCGCAAGTCGAGAATAACGAACAGACCGGCATGACAGAATCGAAGATCATTCAACGTGAAGCCATCAAACTGGCGGAAGCCGTGGACGCCGAGGGGAACAATCAGAACGAGCTCGAGACGACGAGTTTGACATCTATCGATCTCGAGGCGATCAAACCACCGTCCTCGATGGGAAGTTTACTATCGTTGACCGCGAGCTACGCCGGCTCCGCTGACAATAGCGAAACTTTCGTCAACCGGGACAGATGTTACTCCACGTCTCTGCCACCGGTATCAACGAGATATTCCGCCGATTCTCGCAATGTACGGAAAAAGTCTTTGCCGCTCGGCGTAGTGGCCAAACGAGCGCTAGGCCAGAGTCAGAGTCACACGTCCAGTTTGGAGAATTTGTTAAACGAGTGTACCAGCTCGCATCTGGAGAATGTCAAACCGCCGTCCATGATGGATGAACTGCCAGACGTGGGCGATATGGAGAACAGCATGCTCAGCGTGGCTAGTATCACATCGGAGATCGCAGACTCGAAGGAACAGGATTCACACAGTTTGACTGGCAGCGACTCGGCGGTTTTCGAGATGCTAAAGCCAGTCGCCAACGTATTATCCATGACGTGCATGCGTTACGCTGAGGGCATGCAAAGCAGTGCGAACAACAGTCTGAGTGAGTGCCTGGAGAATATTAATCCGCCGTCCCTATTTAATGAGGTGAGCGAGATGGACGAATCCACGATGGAAGCAACTACCGATACTCTGTGTAGCGACACTCTGTGCATAGAAACGGAGCTGCACACTGACGAGGTGGTGCATTCAATTGTGGCGGAGGTGATTGACGAGGCAGAAAACGATACTGACGAGGCAGTCACTCCGATCTCGTCTGAATATTGCATCAGCAGCTCGGCAGAATCAACGCCGAAACGGCGTCCGCCGCATCTGAAGACTCACTTGACCCCGAAGCAAAAACGGAACTTGACGAAGGAGAGATATAAAACGTATACCATCGCCGCGGAGATTGTTAAGAAGGAACAGGAAGAACGCCGAAAGCAAGATGGCACTTGCAGCAATGAGGAGGGTGATAAAATTCCGCGTGGAAAGTATTCTCCCTTCTCAAAACTAACGCCAAAGCAACGCAGGCAAGAAAATAGAGCGAGATTCCAGACACAGGTGCTGGAGAATCCCTTCCCGGATCTGAATCTGGCTCAAACTCAGGAAGTGCAGGAGTTAGTTTCAGCTAGAAATACCGGCGAAAAGCAAGAATCCACATCTCCCAACAAGTCCTCGATTCCTACGCTCACAAAGTTACCTGTGTGCAGGGCATTGAGGAGAAAACGCGGGGATTCCCAAGAGAATAAAGAGCGATATCGCACAAGGACATTGGACGATTCGGAAACCGTGTTCAAAGAAATCGAACATAATACCGTTTCAAGCACCAATGCGACGGAAGAAGAACAAATAAACGCACAAGGATACGTCCACGAGGAGATTCAAACTATGTTGGAGCAGAATGCTACCATCGTGTTAAACACTTTGAATGAATCGAATAAAGCTAACGGGGATGATATTTTACGTTGCGAGACCGTCACTTTGACGTCGCATGATTCCGAATTGGATCGCAATCTAAGAATGCGCTTTGTAAACGGGCTTTCGAAGAAACTGATGAGCACTCAACATATTGATAACGCGCAAACTCTTGCAGTGAATATCGATCATGAAGAAGCAGAAGCTGAGTACGCGAAAATCACTCATGAGGACCTGGGTTCGGCAGATCCGAATGAATCAGGCAGCGATGAGGAGTCGAACTACGCCGACGAGGAACAAGAACCGAGAGAGACGAAGAGGCCGCGAATAATTAAGCCGGGAATGCCGGGTCGAGATCCGAGCGTGGATTCCAACGCGACGGATAAATCTGAGCCGGAAAGCCCGAAAGCGATTCGAGGACGAAGGAAGGCGCTTTATTCGAACCCAATAACACGAAAACCGACGCCGCAATCGTCGCCGTTGAAGCAAGCAAACCTTATCAGCGGGATACCCATAGGTCGCAGCAACACTTCGCCCATTGTCAGACCTACTAGAGTCACCACTTTGCGACAGAATAATAATTCGACGGCTGCTACGAAAGACTCTCCGAAATTCAACACGAGTCCAAAGAAAACTCCATTTGTTGCGGACGCAGAGAAAAAGACGAGAAACCTGGCAGCTGTATCCAAAAGGGCCTCTGTACCTCAGAAGGGATCCTCATTGACCTTCACAAAATCCACCAAGCGTCATAGCACACCTTCGGCCTGCTCATCGAATTACCAAAGCGACAGTAAATTGCCAGAGGTCCCGATCAAGCCGTTGGAGCGTCAAGGAACTTTTACGAAGGATGAACCGGAGGTGGAAAACGCGCCAACGGTGCATTCCGCATCCGCTTCCCCGATAAAGACGAAGATCGCCAAACCGATTAAAGGCGCTTCGTCAAAGATATATCCGGCGGCGGGAAAATCCAAGATCTCCGTGAAAGCGCATCAAGCGTATCAGCCAAAAGTGACGGCCAATAGTTCCGAAAAGATGCAACCACCTAAAGGACTATTGGCGCCGAAGAAGATGTCCTCTGGAAAAATAATTACGCCACCGAAGGTCCTCAACGGCAACGCATCCCAGAACGATAAGACCTTCCGGAAGGTTGATTCTCTCGGACAACGATCCAACAGCAATTCTAGCATAGTCGCCAATTCGTCTACGAGCGTGCAAAATCGTAAGCTGACAAAGGAGGCGACAAGCAAGATTGCAAGTCTCTGGAAGAAGGTCGAAGAGAGCAAGAACAAACAACGTTTCGAGAAACCGGACACCAGGCAATGGATAAGGCCAGCCAATAGTACCACCGAAGTGGACGCTTCACCCGCCGCCGCTGCGACGTTCAATAAGCCGCCGGCGTACAGATTGTTTCGCAGTTCCACGTTTGAGGGGATCTCCCAGGAGGACAGTAGCAGCGTCGAGACATCGCCTTACAAATCGAAATCCAGACCACCGGTCCTAGGTACGCAAGTCGGACCTGCTGGCCCAAAGTACAGAAATTCCTGCGACTTGACGGGCATGAACGCCAACGAGGCACCTTGCAAGATCCCGGTGAAATCGTCCGAGGCATACAAGCGCGAGACGACGCAACTGGGCGACAGCTTGGTGACTATGAGGAAGCAACAGAGCGCCGAGTTCGGAACGGAGACCGATCCCACCAAGAGGATATCCAGGCTCGGCTCCTTTATCCGAGTAGATCCGGCGACAGCAGCGGAGAACGGCGTCCGGACGCCAGCCTCGGCGATCGTGCCGCCGTTCAACTACAATCCAAAGCCAGACATTCCATCGCAAGCGGCCAAATCTAGGTCGGATGAGAGTCAGGGTAAATTCGAGGTGACGGATTGTCACGCGGAGATAGTCACGGGATCCGCCAGGGTGACGACGGTATAGGGGAACTGGGACGACCCCCCAAAACGAAGCGCATAAGTTCTGTAATAATCGACTTCTCTCTTCGTTCCAAGCTAGTCATTGTACATTCGCTTGCTTCTATATGTTCGCCCACATACATTCGTCACATGTGATACGCATTATGAGTAGATAATTTTAATCATTTTCTTTTGCTGTCGCGTACAGATCCTTCGCCATTTTACGCGGAATAATAAAATAGTTACATATGATAATATCCATGATATTCTGTATGCATAAGCATCGCAATGCCAATTTCTTCGATACCGGCAAAAACCGTGTGAAATATTAGCGGGAAATCTTAAGATTATTCCTGTGTCCATTTTATCTGTTGTATATATACATGATAATATAGAATAATTCCGAATTTGAAAGAAGAGAACCACAGTCGAAAATCCATAGTGCTTAGCGGTGATTCTGGATCGGTTATTTATTCAATTTTGTATATATATAAAAAAAAAACATGAATGAAGAATGTTGAAAGTTTTAATAGTACGTGTTTAAAATCTGTGTACGATGCGTAACACATGCGCTGGTCATACATCGCTGTACATCTTCGTACGCGAATGAGAAAAGACGCGCCTGCGGAGAAGACCCGACGATCTGTATTTTGTTTCCATCGTATAAACCGATTCGTATCATCTTTCTCTTTCAAACGGATGCAAAGTCTAATTACTTTTTAAAGACTGATAAGTAGGGCGATGAAGATCTGGAATAAGCTCGAGCATCTTCGACCGAAGATTAATGGTAACGAGGTAGTACCGTTTGTATCGACTGTGTGAACGTAGAGCGGTCTAAAATAGTTCGCTAAAACTGGGATTATAATAACGGGACAAAAAATTTTATAAGCATTATCTTAAGTTTCTAGTCTACAAGTAATATACACACACATTCTATTTTCGTCACATATATTATATTGTATATCGCGAACATTCATTTCGTTTCTGAGTGACGTCTATTGAATTGACACACTGTTACTTCTTTGGAAGTAAATATATCATTAAAAGGTGTACAGATCACACATATGCAATTAGAGAGAGATTACTTATAAGTCTCTGAAAAATCGAAATACTATAATTTTATTATTTAATGTTGTTTTGTCTTTCATTCGGAGACTGATGTAGGCAAGATGGTCTTTTTTTTTTTAATTTACTTAATTTTCCTTATCGTGTCAATTTTCCTTCTGCGGGAATCGTATCATTGTCGAATTCTCATCGAAAGGAGAGATTACTTGGCATGTGTATTAGAATTATATATTTAATTTTTAATTAAGAGATTTCTTCTATGTAAACAGTTTTGCCCTGTTCCAGTTCGAGTTAATTAGATTTAACCCTGCCAACTTGGAACCATATCAGGGTATCTTTGCGTTGTTTCTTAAAACATATTTGGTCTGTACACTACGAGATTATTGTAATTTTTTTTTGTAACATTATTTCCACTCTAGGTTTTAAGAACAACTTTCGTTACATTTTGCGCTTTAAATTCGCCAGATATCATTATAATTTGTACATTAAATTGTACATTACTTGCAGTACAATAAAATTTATAGCTAAAAATACCCTTTTTTATCGTAAACTCTAAAGAGATGTGTTATCGATTGTCTGCAACTATTAAAGAATAAACAATGTAGCGCAAATAAAAAATATTTATTAATCCTTACAATATTACTTATCATATATCGGACATTCATACAAATTAATGGATTTATCTTCAGATACTGATGCAATCACGTTATTTCGTTGTGGATTATATTTTACTGCCCATACCTATATATTCATAAAAAAAATTATCTGTATCTGTATTAAAATCTTAAAAAATTGACATTAAACATATATTTCGTCTGAAAATTATTTCAAGCTTAGCGGACATACCTGATCTTTATGTTCATCAAATGTATGCAAACACTGTCTTTGTGCTAATTCCCAGATCTTGACTGTATGATCAGAACTGCTTGATGCAAATTGCTGACCATCTGGTGAGAAAGCCACGCCGAGCACCCAAGAAGCATGACCCGACATTGTTCCTGCTAGATTTGCATCCTTGCTAAATAAAAACAATGAATATAAAATATTAATAATGAATTTATTTTAATATAAAGTCAGTATATTTATGTATTTATAAATCTCTAATTTCCTTACACGTCGTACAACTTCATATGTCCATCATCGGATGCTGTAAGGAGCAGCTGAGAATCTGGCGAGAAACACAGAGACCTGATAGGCATTGCGTGACCTAAACAACATAAATTTGAGAAAATATTCTATAACATCTTGATAATAATCTTTGTAGCACATTTGAATTTTTTTTATCTACCTTCTAATGTACGCAAAACTTTTCCATAGGCAACATCAAAGATATTAATAATCCCGTCAATTGCACCACTTGCAATATATTTACCATCAGGACTCTGAAATGCAATTCCATGTACAAAAGCTGCATAACAATTTAAACTTTTATTCAAATGACTTACATAAGCAACACTCAGTGTAAATTTTCCACCTCTTGTATCTAATGTTTGTTCTTGTTTACCACTTTCAGTTCCATATAAATGTATTTTACCAGCGTGACTGCCAGAAACAATAAATTTATCATCTGGAGAAAAGACAACGGTCCAAATATCTACTGGGCCAACTTCAATACTCGATAATTTGTCTCCAGATTGTAAGTCCCATAATTTCAAACTCGAGTCAAGGGAACTAGAAGCACATTCTACAAATTTGCGCAGTAAAATGTAGATTTAAAAATTAATATACTTCAAAATAATAATTTCATTCATTTACTTGATCCATCCGAGCTGACAGCTATGGACACTACTCCTAAAGAATGTCCAGTTAACTTATGCTTTATCTTCAAAGCACCATCTCTCAGTTCCCATACTTTTACTGCATCATCTACAGAACCTGTTACTAAATATTCCGCAATCTCATCTTCATTGGATCGTATAGAATCTCTATCAAGTAACATAACAGTTAAAAAAGTATAGTTCTTTCATCAAGCAACAAATTAAAATAACACTGATTATACCGTGAATCTTCATTATCTGGTTGAATATCTTTCTTCCTCTTTGGACAACCCCATGCACAAGTCCATATACTATCCTCGTGTGCATTTTCTGTTTTGTGAGTTAAAGAATACTGGAAAAAAAAGAACAAAATAGAAAAAAAGATAAAGAAACAATAAACACAGATAATAAATAAGAAAAATAGCTCTAGTCTCACCATCTTAAGACAAATAAATTTTTAATAAAACGGACGCAGCGTGTAAACTTTTTCCGGATATACCACTTAATATTAATGTATATTTGTTATCCAAACTTTTTATGATATTTATATATAAAACGTGTATTGATATCGAATGTTGAAAGAGATGCCTCCAAATATTGGCCCAATCACACAAACAAATTGAACAAAGTTGCACGAGAAAAGCAGAAGCAGAGATAAGAGATGCCAGAGCCAGATGCCAGATGCCAGACACAATATGCAATAGCACGCTTAGAGCGCGTGGAGGGGATACGCACATATCCGTGTGCGTATCAGCGTATCCCCTCTCCCCCTAGCCCTCTAGCCGCTAGCGCCAGCATCCCTTGGCATCTTTGCGTGGAAGGTTATGTTTACTTGTACACGTGTTGGAAAAAGTCGCTTCGCGATATAGGAAAAAAATGGCTAGAAAGAGTTTAGCCGACAAAATAAATACTTTGATTACAGCAAAGCCGGATTTTGGCTCGGATGAAGAACCAGAGGAAACGAAGGCGAAGGTTGTGGAATATTACGACGAGAATGATGTCTCGGAGGACGATTTACAGCAATCTAAAATTCGCAGACAAAATGTTGATACCTTGGACAAAGTAGATAAAAGGTAAAGATATTTTATATTTGCATCTGTATACAAGATTAGTATCTATAAACGAGAAATTTTGATCGATGGAACATTATATAATTTGTTCACACTTGATTTGTTGTTAAAACAGGTATGCTGGTAAAAAAGTCTCAAGAAAAGATATATATAGCGATGAGGATGATATCAGTGACGATGAGAGTAAAAGCTCTGGGAAAGATGTGAAAGATGAAGAGATGGGAAGTACATCGGAACAAAGCGAGGATGAATCTTACAGCGATGAAGAAGCAGATTCACAACAAGAGTCTCAAGATGATGAGAGTATGTCTGATACAGAAGATCAGGATGATTATGATATAAATAATTCACTTGATAAACAAAGAGACTCTACTATCAAAACCATATTTGAAACAAATGTTAGAGCAGAAGTAGAGAAAGGCAATTCCATCAGGAACCAACTCAAGTTTTGGGAAAATTTATTGGAGATGCGAATAAAGCTGCAAAAGTGTCTTATAACTAGTAATCAAATGCCACAGTATGACATACATAAGAAACTTAGGTCAGATACAGACCTTGTGACAAAGACCAACGAGACTAAAACCAAACTGGTACTGATCTTAGATAACATGTTGCAACTAAGAGATCTTTTGTTAAAACAATATCCTGAAACGAAAAATCTATGTGCTAGTTCCAAAAAGAGAAAAGCTGACAAGGACGAGAATACAAACACGAATGATTCAATGGATGAAGAAATACCTTCCGATACCGAGGATGCATTAGAAAATGGAAGGGAATCATCTATCGACGAAGACACGGAAATGGCTGAAGAATCAGTACCCCGAAAACGTCTCAAATACAATGATTACGAAAAAGTTTTACAAGAAAATCATGATTCCTATAAAGAATATAGAGATTCTGTTATAAAAAAGTGGAATGACAAGACGCGGATTGCTACAGGTTCGAGTAAGAACTCGGGTCAGACTACGCTTAAACAAATTGAATTTGCCATGAGCGACATAAGCAAGTTACGGAAGAAAACTCAGCTGAAACGTTCCGAGTATAACATTGTCGGTAAATCTTTGTCGAATGAAGATAGCGACGGTAGGAGAATCCAGGAATACGATCCAGAAATTTATGATGATGACGATTTCTATCATCAGTTGTTGAGGGATCTGATAGAATATAAATCGTCGGACGTGACGGATCCTGTACAACTCAGCAAACAGTGGATCCAATTGCAAAACATGCGTAGAAAGATGAAGATGAAAATCGATACTCGTGCGACGAAGGGCCGGAAAGTGCGATACAATGTTCACAATAAATTAGTCAATTTTATGGCGCCTATCACAATATACGACACTTGGACAGATAATGCGAAGAACGAATTGTACAATTCATTGTTCGGTAAAATAAAACCGACGGATGAGCAAATGAAGCAATAATTATGGAAATCTAAATTATTAAATCGCATAATGTAATTTTATCTTTGTTATATACAAGAATTGATACACGATGTATAGATTGACACATAAATTTCTCAATCTATATTTTTTCATACAAAAATATATTCTCTTTTATCATCGATGATATATTTATATTTCTTCAACAAATCTGAATACTAATATTTCTATAAATAATATCAATGTTTTGAATCATTAATCTCGATTTCCGCTTCACTAATATCTAATTTGCTGACTTAATCAATAAGAAATCTTAATTAATTAAATTTTAATTAATAAAACGAACAAGAGAGAGAAAATCAATTTTTAATATATATTTATTACACACGTATATATCTCAAGATTTTTATATAAATTTATATTATCGAACATAAAAATTGTTTAAGATGTGTTTTATTACAATACAAAATATTTATTTTAAAAAATATACATATTTTATATATTTTTATACATTTACGCACGCTATTAATTGTAAGTGACTACGATTACTTAACTATCGTTTTTTTGTCAGCTGGCTCAATTCTATCATTTAAACCTATGACCTCATTCTACTTTGTTATATGTAGCATAAATATGTACTTATGTGGCAATGTGATATCAAAGTAACTGGAGACAAAGATTGTTCTGAAAAGCATATTATTCCTGACATTCGAATGTTTCGCAAAAGATTTCCGCGTTCAAGCTAATTAGATTTTAAAATAAAACTACGTAATACGAAATAATTTATTACGGAATAATATACCCTATTAAATTTCAAAAATCTATATATGTATGAGTTATAATAATTATACTACATTTATGGTAATTGCCTCAGCAATGATTATTAATGATTGCAATACTTACGTAAAGTGATATCTCTTTTCGTAAATGTGTTGTATATATAATGTATATGTGTATCTTATGTAAAGAACGCGCTATTATCTGTAATATCGAATTCGACTTTTAATAAGGCCACTATTATTTATTGGTCATACAATGAGGTGTATCACCAATCATATTAATGAAGTATTTCTCGAAATTTGCATGCATATATTGAACTAGAAACATATCATAAATATATAATTATAATAGCTGCAGATCTTTGCAAACGATGTTTGACTTCGATGCATTCACCTTTGCGGAATACGCGTCTACCGATCACAATCTGATTACGTAATTGTATTATATATATAATTGATTATCTCCTCTATATGCGCTAAAACGAGACATCTGTTTATATATATAATATTAATTTTTGTTGATGACTAAAAGGATGAGATTTGGCGAGTTGTCCATCGAATAAAAAAGGAAATCATCGGTTTACAAAATGTAATTAAAACAGCGAAAGCGATTGCGTCCGACACTCGACCCAGGTAGCAAAAGTAGCCATTTTAACGTTATTTTGATGTCAAATTATGTCAAAATGAAGTTAAAAAGACTACGTTTGCTACCTGGATATAAATATATACGTATATATATAAAATATCTGTATATTATTGTATAATAATAAAAATGACTGCGTGCGAGTATGTGTGCAAAATGTAATTAACAGCGAAAACGATTGCGTCCGATACTCGAAATATGTATATATACGTAATAGAATGCCTGTGTATTATTGTATAATAATAAAAATGACTGCGTGTGAGTGTGTGTGCAAGATGTAGTTAACAGCGAAAGCGATTGTGTCCGACACCCGATATATATGTATATATATGTAATAGAATGCTTGTATATTACTGTATAATAATAAAAATAACTGCGTGTGAGTGTGTGTTGTATATATTATGTAATATATTTTGTATAATATATTTTAAAAAGCAAATAAAAATTGTATTAATAATACAAAACGTCTTCTGATTGAATATACTCATCCATTCCCACACATCTTGTCGTGCCACACATACCTCTTTACTAATTACATATTTCATTGATATTATTTTGCTAATTTCTCGTTCTTAAAATTTAAAATTATAATAAAATAATAAAATTTCATGAAGCGCAAAGATTTGAATTTTCGATTTCCGTAAAAGTATCAGGAGAATATAATCAGCAAAGAGGTGAGGGTATCAGGAGAATATAATCAGCAAAAGGAGTGGCAAAAACTAAAATTTTAAAAAGCGCGAAAAATTGAAGCTTCAAAAAATCTGCAAAAGTATCAGGAGAACATAATCATCAAAGAGATCGCACCAACTAAAATTTTCTAAAATTTTAAAAAGCGTGAAAATTTGAAGCTTTGAAATCCGTAAAAGTATTAGGAGAACATAATCAGCAAAGGAGGTGGCACAAACTAAAATTTTAAAAACGCGAAAATTTGAAGCTTCAAAATCTACTAAAGTATCAGGAGAATATAATCAGCAAAGAAGTGGCACAAACCAAAATTTTAAAAAGCTCGAAAATTTGAAGCTTTAAAATCCGCAAAAATATCAGGAGAACATGATCAGCAAAGAGATCGCACGAAGTTAAATTACAGAAAGCAAAAAATTTAAAGCTTCGAAAATTGCACAAGTATCAGGAGAACATGATAAGCAAAGAGATCGCACGAAGTTAAATTACAGAAAGCAAAAAATTTAAAGCTTCGAAAATTGCACAAGTATCAGGAGAACATGATAAGCAAAGAGATCGCACGAAGTTAAATTACAGAAAGCGGAAAATTTAAAGCTTCGAAATTCGCACAAGTATCACGAGAACATGATAAGCAAAGAGATCGCAGGATAGCACCAAGTTAAATTACAGAAAGCGGAAAATTTAAAGTTTCGAAATTCGCACAAGTATCAGGAGAACATGATAAGCAAAAAGATCGCAGGATCGCACGAAGTTAAATTACAGAAAGCGGAAAATTTGAAGCTTTGAAATTCGCACAAGTATCAGGAGAACATAATAAACAAAGAGATCGCACGAAGTTAAATTACAGAAAGCGGAAAATTTGAAGCTTCGAAATTCGCAAAAGTATCAGGAGAACATGATAAGCAAAGAGATCGCACAAAGTTAAATTACAGAAAGCGGAAAATTTGAAGCTTCGAAATTCGCACAAGTATCAGGAGAACATGATAAGCAAAGAGATCGCACAAAGTTAAATTACAGAAAGCGGAAAATTTGAAGCTTCGAAATTCGCACAAGTATCAGGAGAACATGATAAGCAAAGAGATCGCA